GCAAAAAATGAGCTACCTGTAAAGGAACTCAATTATATGCCAGAAATAGTATAGGTGTATTAATATGCTACTCTGCATGGTCTAATTATCCTACTAAGAAGAAGGCTGTATAAGTATAGACAGAATCCTGTGCTAATGTCGTTACATTTTTTTCCAGCACCCAAATTAGTTCATCCAGTCAGGTGCTACGTGTCCGTAACTCACTGGCTGTAGTACTGTGAGAAGTACTTTGTTCAGGACTCAGCTTCTCATGGAAGAGGATATTTATGTTTTTACTTCATTTTTTTTGCTTAATGATAGTGTGGAAATGCTTATCAACTGCAGTGAGGATGGAGGATATGAATGAATGTGTTTTATGAGCAAGTGAAAAGAATGGTTGCTATCTTAAAGAGTTTGTAATCTAAAACAAGACTTGGCAAATTGTAACAGAGTAGGATGGAAATTTTATGGTAATGCCTGAGAACTTTAATATATGATTTTATAGGCAAGTAGTGTGCACAGCTAGATAGTTCTGAATGTTTTTAAATTATTTACGTTTGGACTACAGTGTAGAGATTAAGTAACAGAATAAAGAAGAGTTTGAGCTAGTAGGAGCACAAGAGGAAGACAGATATTGAAGACAGACTCAGGGAAGAAGAGGTGGGTAGGGAAATAATGGGATAAGAGAAGGGTTAATGTAAATATCCCAGCTGTCATATATCCTTCATAACAATCACGTATTTGATGGTCCAGCAACACCTGCCTATATCTTTTGGAAAATTGCATGCATATATGAGCTAGGAAAAAGGAACAGAGAAACTTTCTATGAATTCTCATTGGCATAAGGAGAAGGCACAAGGATTGCACTTGGTGGCCCATGAGGTTCATACTAGTTATATGTTCTCATATCGCTGTTTTAAATCTCCAGCAGCTGACCTGTTCCTCATATTTGTAAATCAGGAGAAAGACAAGGTTTCTTTCATCCGTTTTGCAAATAAGGTAATTTTAAAGGCAAAACTAGATGACTTCAGTCACAAATGGGATTAAAACTGCTTCACCAAATTAGAAACAAACTCATTCATTTGGTCACATTGAGGCTGCAGGGAGAGGTTAAGGCAATTGCACAATTGGGATCTGAAGAATTTTATGCCCCATTCCCCAAATCACATGTTCTGCCGTGCTACACGTGCATGGCAGATCTCACAATTCTGGGAATGGGGCATAAAATTCCTTAAACCCCAGCTGCCAGCGTGGGTGAGGGGTGGCCCTGAAACTGAGGAGTAGGGAGCATCCCAGCTGCATCCCCTGTGAACATGGAAGTGGTAGCTGGAGAGCTGGGAGCTCCCTACTCCCCAAGTGCTGTTTGCATGGGTGCCTGGAAATGGAAAAAATGGGCATGAGCTGAGGAAAAGAAGGTGATTAGGGACAGTCGGCATGGATTCACTGAAGGCAAGTCATGCCTGACCAACCTGATTGCCTT